TAGGTCCATAACACATATACCCTTAAGCCTATTAACTAAATTGAATCACTTAAATTGTAGGCTTCTTATAAATGATAACATTCTGCAGAAATTAATCTAATTACATAGATAAAACTCAAGGCTGACATAAAGCAGTAATATAAATACAAACTCCCACTAAACCAGAATGTTCTCAAATAGAACAACACCCATCTGAGCAGTGTGCTCATGAAAGACCTTGGGTGGTAGTCCCTTCGTAAGTGGATCCGCTATCATGGAGTTTGTCCCAATGTGCTCTATGGAAATCTGTCCACTCTGCACTCTTTCTTTTACAACTAGGAACTTGATATCAATATGCTTTGATTTTGTCGAGCTCCTGTTGTTATTGGAATATAAAACTGCAGACTTATTGTCACAATATAACTTAAGTAGTCTTGCAGTGCTTATATTCTTCATTCATGGCTTCTATCCACTTATGAGAGTTGGAACTTTCCATGACTTGATGAAAGTTGATTGGATCATCTTTCGACATTCCATTTTCTACCTCATGTTCCTGGAGATATACAATATAATCATCTGAAAATGCAAATCTCCTTTCTCTGGTGGATCGCCTTAATGGCACAAATTAGAGTTTGTTCCTCAGGAACAATTACCTCATCTTGAAATAATCTCTAAATAAATTAATTTAATGACAACATCTCAAGATACCTAGCACAACATTAATACCAAGCCTTTGGGCAGTGATATTAACTGTAAGTGGTATTCTTGTTGTAATGATCAAACATTGATTTATTAGTCAGAGCGGTTATATCATGTGTATTATCAGAATAGATATGCTTTTATTCATCCTATTTAGTTTCTTGGAATCAGATTCTGAATTTTCTTATGGATGTAAATTCTGTTTTTTTCTGTTTTGTTTTGTGAAAATGGCAATCTGTTTTCTGGGATTGTAAAATGATTCGGTGGACAGTTTTTTTTTTTTTTTTGGAAAGCTCAACAAAATTGTGCAAAGACGATTTTACCCTCAACAATTTGTGAAATTCCACAACACCATAAGGGTAACTTGGCAAATTCACATCAAAAAGCAAAACTTTGAAAAGAACTTCAAAACTTTTTGCATAACAAACGCATCAGCGTTTTTAGATTCTAAAAAAGCAAAAATCAACTAAAAAAGCAGTAGTCGAACTCCACCTCAATCAACATCTCACTGAGATAAAATGTTGGACGGAGCACCAACACTTTCTAAGGAAAGATGTGGAGGGAAACTTAAACAAGTTGCCAAGCAAAACTCTAACACAAATAAAAAGACAAAAGACTGCAGTGTTTACCTGCTTGAGGAGCCTCTTTTGATACCGGTAGCCCTAATGACATAAATCAAATAATAACATTATTATGATACAATATAATCAGTTAGGTCAAACCAAAAAACTTCAAATAATAATTAAAACTAATTGTATAACGACCTTATCAGTTTCATAGATGTAATCACAGTAGGTGAACACGGATGCAAAGTTGCTCTGGCTTTGTCCTCCAACATAATGATGGTAATCATGGTATTCTGCACCACCATAAAATGGAATATATTTTATGGGATTCCAAGGGAGGTCATACCTGCGGGTTTACTTATTGGTTTTAATTTCTATTTATTGGTTTTCAAAACTGAAAGGTTGTGGAAGTTCAAAAGGAATGAAAACCAACTTTAACCATTGTTGGTTTTGATTTCTATTTACTGGTTTTCAAAGCTGAAAGGTTGTGGAAGTTCAAAAGGAATGAAAACCAACTTTAACCATTATGTTTTAATTTCTATTTCTGCCCCTCATAGAAATAGAAATTATACAACTAGTATCTACACATTAGGTCCATAACACATATACCCTTAAGCCTATTAACTAAATTGAATCACTTAAATTGTAGGCTTCTTATAAATGATAACACCACATTTAATTATGTGGTCCCATTGAGACATTATCTAACAACTTCCCCTTTCTTTCTCTTCCTCTCTTTCTCTTCCTTTGGGCAGATGCTCTCTGCTTTCCTTCTCTTTTTTTTCTCTTCTTCTTCTTTTACTCTCTTTCTTTTCCTTTGGGGCGAAACTCTCTACTTCCTTCTCTTTTTTCTTTTCTTCTCTTCTTCTTCTTTTATAAACTTCAACATGCAAGAAAACAAAACAAAATATAATATAATATTTTATTATATATACATAATTTGAGTGATTGAGGGGTGTGAGAGACATGGCTGCCTCCTTTTCTCTTTCTTTCTTTTCATGTTTTTGTTTCTCTATCTTTTTCTTTCCTTTTTTCTTTCTTTTCTTGACTTTCGTAGCTTCTCTCTTTCTTTGTGCTTGTTTGGTAGTACTTAAAATCAACTTAAATCAACTTTTAGCTTAAATTGAGTTATTTTGGTGTGTTTGGCAAAACTTATGGGGATAGATTATAGCTTTGATTAAGCCATTTTTAGCTTAAATTTGTAAGTTGCTCCGAGTGTGCTTTTTTATTGGAGTTTATGCGCGCAGCTGAAATGGGGAGCATTAAATGACTTAAATGCCCTTCACAATTTCCAGTTATTACAAGTGTGCCATATATGTAAACCAAAACACTCATTCTTTTCTCTCTCACAAAACAGGAGAGGCGATTTTCGACAAACAGTGACCAGAGCTCTCTCTCTCTTCTCTCTCTCTCTCTCTCGCTCTCTCTCTCTCCGGCACTCATAGTGAGCGATCTGTACCAGAGACCCTAACCATCTTGATGTGAAAGAGACCCTAACCATCTCGATCTGAACCAGAGACCCTAACCATCGCGATCTGAATCCGGTCTTATTTTGTCCAGATTTAAGAGGGTTTGAAGTGTTTTTGTGGGTCATTGTTGTCGTGAAAGGTGAAGCTCTAGTGCTATTCTGGCTAGATGTTTGGCTCGTATATTCAAGTTTGAGTTTGAGTGAGCAAGGTTTTCAAGTTTTGTGCTCTGGCTATGAGATGAGGTCTATCTGGCGCTCCATTTCTGAGTTGTCTAGTTCGGTTACGTCTTGGCTAGTTTGGGGGGTGTTCTTGGTTGACCAAGTGAGTGTTCAGGTCGATGCAACAGTGTATTGGGTTAAGTCATCACTTTCAGTGTGGTCGTCCCCGGATGTTGTAAATAGGTGTGTAACCTGCGCTGCTAAGCTCCGGCAGTGGAATCAGGCTTTTTAATTAAAAAAATTAATAAATTAAAAAAGAAGAGAAGAATTAATAAATTAACAAAAATTGGTAAATTAATAAATTAATAAATTACTGAGGGCCTCGTTTGGGAAGGCTTTGTTTTAGCTAATTAGCCAAAAAGTTACTAAATTAGTCAATTAGCCAATTAGCCATACCAAAAAATCAACAATTACGGCTTCTCTCTACTTTTTGCACAGCTTTTCGTAATTAGCCAAAAAGTCATCCCAAACATACAAGTTTTTTTTACCTACCTTTTTAGCCAATTAGTCAAAAAGTTACTAAATTAGCATGTTCCCAAACGAGGCCTAAATATTGATAGAAATTGGACAATTGCAAAAAAAAAATTCACAAGTAATATTGATATAAATTGCACAATTTATTTCAATTAATGATGTATAAATTTATTTCAATTAAATAACTTCTATTAAAATAATTTTATATTGATATAAAATTCTTTGGTATTGTAATAAAAAAACAATTGTTGCTAATTGATATTAATGAAAAAAATTGCTAACTGATATTAATGAAAAAAAAATGAAATAACTTTTATTAAATGAAATAACAATTGTTGTGATGAAATGTATCAATTTTTATATTAATTGATACTAATTATATTAACTTTCATTAATGAAACAAATTTTTTTTTTTAAATTAAAGCTGAAGAAAATGAAAAAATTACAATTAATGAAATAATTTTTTTCAGAATTTAAAATGAAGAAAATGACAACTACAATTTTTATGTTTATAAGGGCAAAAATGACAATTACACAACAAAAAGCTATTTTACAACTTATTTACCAAGCACTACTCTACTGCTTAAATCTATAATCTCATAGCTGCTTCAAACATGTTACCGGTTTACATTCACAGCTGTAAGTTATAATCTGTTAAGTTATAATCTATAATCACTTTCCCACAGCTTTATCAAACGGGGCCTTTGTCTTTCTTTCTTTATTTTATAATAAATATAATTTAATATATAAAATGTCTAAAATATATTATTTACATTAATTTATATATACATATTAAAATATGTACAAATACAAAAAAAGCACAACTCCCAATTCAAATTTTTTCCTAGAAATCAATTTTTACAATTTTTTATTATACATTTTTCAATAAAAAGTCAAAAAGTTAACCCAAACATCCATATTTTCAACCTCAATTTTTTAGTCTAAAAAGACAAAAAGTGCACTTATTTAGTCTTCCCAAACTTGACCTAATAAAATGTATTTTAACAGACCAAATGTGTAACATTTAGGCTCTGATCACACTCCCTACTTACATTTTGCTAGTTCTCGAGTAAAAAAAATTAAAAATAAAATATATCCAAACTCTTTTGAAAATTTAAAACTCTTTTTAAAATTTATAATTCAAAAACTCAAAACTATTTTTATAATTCATAATTAAATAATTTTTTTTTCAAAATTCAACTCCTAACTCTATATATAAATCACAATTCCGTATTCAAATTATAATTCTAAAATTAAACAGGGAGAATTTTCTGAAAGGTGTTTTGAGAAAATGATTAAAAATTGACTTTTTAATTTTTTTTTTACTATTTTTAAGAAAATGTTAGAGATCCCAAATTTTCTACCAAATAAATTATCAAATGTCTCACATGGATGTGGGGTCCACAAAATTACGGACCCTACACCCATGTGAGACATTTGGTCATTTGTTTAGTAGAAAATTTGATATCTCTAACATTACTCTTATTTTTATATAAGAAGTGATGTGATTCAAAATAAGTTAGAAGCTGGCTTTTCAATTTTATTATTATTATTATTATTTTTAAGTGTGTTATAAAAACGCAAAAACTGGACACTCTACTCAAAATTTCCCTCTTGGAGCGTTTTCAAACTCGAAAAAGCTCCCAAAGATCACCACCACCACCATCCTCATCGTCTCTCTCTTAGATTTGAAATGGAGATCACATCAGGTCCGATCAGTTCATGTTCGAAAGAACACCAGAAAATCTATCAGGACTGGTTCAGCTTGGCCGATTCAGGTTCATTTTCCATTTCTTCTCTCAATCGGACTGCTCTTCAACAAATCCACCTTCTTCTTCTTCTTCTTCTTCTCAAACCATCAAATCAATTCTCTGCTCTTCGTATATGTGTTTATGAATTTTTTTCCTCTCTCTCTCTCTCTAGATGGCGATGGTCGAATCACTGGAAATGACGCCACAAAGTTCTTCGCGATGTCGAATCTATCTCGACCAGAACTCAAGCAGGTATACTTTGACTTGGCTTGACGTTTGTGAATTGACTTACATTCGAATTTATGTATTATTGGAATGAAATGTACAAGACATGTAGAAATTTACCTAATGTCCTGCATCATATGTTTGGTAGGGTTTATGAAATTTAATAGTTTTTTTTTTTTGGGACATGAAGTAGATCTGTTTTTATCGGTGGGAGTTTTTAATTTAATTTATAATGATGATCATGATGTTTTTGATTGATATATTTTATGAGAAACAATATTGCAAGTTTTTCACAGGGTAGCAGGATAAACAATGTGGTTCTCAAATTATATGACTAGTTTTGTTTGTGAGAACATATGCATGTGTCAATCTAATAGGCTAATTCAATCATGTGATAGTTTATTTGTTTTTGTCATTTTTTTAATTGGTTAGTTTGTAATTGCTTAGACTGGCTTTTTGTTTCCGTTTCTCTCCTTATAAATATGTTTTTTTTTGTTTTTAAAGGTTTGGGCAATTGCAGACTCCAAACGACAAGGATTTCTAGGTTTTAAGGAGTTCATTACTGCGATTCAGGTTGTACTTTGTGAGCTATTTCTTGTGTTTTTGTCAACAAATTGGTAGAGATCTGACATCTGTTTTATTGGTGTAATGACAGTTGGTGTCTCTAGCACAAGCAGGACATGAATTAACCCAAGATCTCCTTAAAGTGACGGGTAATTATATTTAGTATGCTATTGTTTCTCTCTGTGGTATTTAACATTTGAGGAGCATATGCTACTAGATAACTTCTCTTTTTTACTTTTGATCTATAAGCTTAGGTTTTATTCATCTCGCTAGTGTTTATTTTTGAAATAAGAACCAGTACCAAGATATTCTTAAACAAAAATTGTCTAATGTTAGTAACTTTTGGCCTTAGGACCTTGGGTTGTAGAGTTCCTTAGAGAATGTTGCTTAAGCATACACTCCCTTAATCCATAGGAGAAATTAACTGAAATTTAGAATGAATGCAGAAAGATTTTAATATCGATATGATCTAAGTGGAGAAAATGTTGCATGTAAATTTTGAAAAAATGAGATGTTTGGAAAAAATCCTAAAAATATACTCTTTGATTTAATGAATTCAAATCCCTTTATCAGTGAGATAATTGTCATTATATTTCACTAAGTATGTTAAAAAAAAATAAAAATAAAATAAAATAAAATAATAAAGAAAACATGTTGCAAAGAAAGCTGATATCATGTCACTTTGTGTGCCCTTCACAATATGATGTTTGGGTTTAAAGAATTTGGCCCTCTTAGAGTTGGAATTTGGATATACTCTTGTTGATGAGGCTTGTCTCTTGTTGAGTTCAGGGTTCATGCTTTAAACACCTCCAGGACATTGTTACTTCGATATTTGACTTAAGTTGATGTAATTTTCTTGTTTTACTTTTACAGATGACAGAGAGGTTATAAAACCTCCATTGATGGAAGGTTTGGATGACTTGCTAGCAGTAAGTAGTTCTATTATTTATTCTTTTTACAGTTACTGAAAAAAAGACTTTTAGTTCCTTTGATCTTTTACTGGTGCTCCTCCTCCAGAAGCATAAAGGTTCTAAAAGTAATGGAAATTATGAAACAAATGGTTAGTACAAATTCTCATATTTTGACATAATAATGACATTGGTTCGATTCATCATTAATTAAAATATTTTTCTGATGTCAATTTAGGAAGTACTATGTTACAACCATCTCTGTCAGTAAATTTGTTTACATCAAAATCTACCAAGAAGGTAATAACTTTTTTAATGTCTTAACTTACCGAGTTTATTGATTTCCTTTTTCTCTGAATTCCATGCATTTATATGAATTACATAAATTAATTTATTTTGTTTTCTAGTCTTATGTGACCTTTCCCTCATTTTATATTTGCACATAGGCAACTTTCTCTGCAGTTACATCAATAACTGATGGCTTGAAGAGGTTGTACACTGAAAAACTAAAGCCATTGGAAGTTGGTTATCATTTCAATGACTTTGCATTTCCTTTATTGGTGAGTGGGTGAAATACATGTTTTTGTGTTTTTACCTTGAGAATTTTAATTTTTCTTAGATCAGTTATGTATATTGATATGCTACTGTTTGCTTTGCCATAAGTTTTCTGCAATCTTTTTGGATTGATTTGTGATTTTTATTCAGCAGACAAATAGTGATTTTGATGCTAAACCCATGGTTATGCTTTTGGGTCAATACTCAACTGGGAAAACTACATTCATAAAACATTTGTTGAAATGCGACTATCCAGGTTAGTAAATTTCTTCCACATCTTCTTGCATTTGCATATGTTACTAGCATTGAGTTGAAACACAATAAGGAAGTAATTTTTTATTAATACAACCACCTGTACACAACTATAGTGTACAAGTACACACAAAAGTAAACTCACATTTTACTTGCACACAAAACAAAGTACAACGCAACAATACACTTTAGGACACCACACTTCTAGGAACTCACGCTTGGTGTCTTTGTGTGTTGCTCATACACATAAGGAGAGCTCATGCCTATTTATAGGCTCATGTCCATCGACATTGCAAGTTGGTTGCTAAAAACTTGTAACCTAGAAGCTTGCATAAGAAACTGCCAATGCTTGTAGTGAAAAAAAAAAAAAAAGGCCTGGAAAAGGAAGTTCTAGAAGGGGAGAGTGTATTTGATGGCCGAGACAATCTAGAAAGAGTCAATGATGACTCTTAACAACTAGTTAATGACATTGTTTCTTGGTTTTCAGTTGTTTCTTTTTTCTTTTGCTTTTTCTTTTTTAATAATTATGACAGGAGCTCACATTGGACCAGAGCCTACAACTGACCGATTTGTTGTTGTTATGGTAACTAAAAGCTGTTTCCATGTTCGTCTTGTTTTTGAAATATAATCTTGTTTTGGTGATTTATTATTACTGAAACCAAACATTTGGTAACAAAAAATGATACCTCCAATTTTTTAAAATATCTTACTTTATTTGTCAATTTTATGTGTAATGTTCAATAGTTTTCTGTTCTTCCTTACTTAGTCTGGACCCGATGAAAGGAGCATTCCTGGGAACACTATTGCTGTTCAAGCAGACATGCCATTCAGTGGTCTAACCACTTTTGGAGGATCTTTTCTGTCAAAATTTGAGTGCTCTCAAATGCCACATCCTGTAAGTTTTTAACCAAACTTCTATTGCATTATTCTTCGAACAATTCGTTCCCTTGATCACTTTATTAAAAGGAAATATTTCCCTCATCTGCCTGCAGCTGCTCGAACATATTACATTTGTGGACACTCCAGGAGTCCTATCTGGAGAGAAGCAACGAACACAACGAAGTTATGATTTCACTGGTGTTATCTCATGGTTTGCAGCAAAATGTGACCTTATTCTTCTTTTATTTGATCCTCATAAACTTGATATCAGTGATGAGTTCAAGCGAGTGATTTCATCCCTACGTGGTCATGATGACAAGATACGTGTTGTCCTAAACAAAGCAGATCAAGTTGATACCCAACAAGTGAGATGTGTAGCTAATCATTAAATATAATTTGGCCTTTTCATATTTACCCTTGAATAGAAGCATTTGGATGTAACTTTTTAACGTACTTGTTATTGTTATATTATAGTTAATGAGAGTTTATGGTGCATTGATGTGGTCACTTGGGAAAGTTTTGAACACTCCAGAGGTTGTGCGTGTATACATTGGGTAAGTTTCTAAATTTTGGTAAATGGCTATGCGTTTGCTATTATTCTAAGAGATTGGATCTTAGTTGGAACTTGGAAGTAAATATGTCCAAGTTCTAGTGTTATAGTTTGTAGTATGGCTTGCTTTGTTGTTAGTTTTTTCATTATCTATTATTGTGCTTACATGTATTTGTCACTGTAGTTATTAACTCTGTAACATGAGTTAACATGGTTCATTCTTTTCATTTTTTTTCCCTCTCCTTATTCTTCATGTTCTTCCATTAGTTAACATTTCTTTTCAACAGACTATGTAATCTTTATTTGTTTCAATTATTTGTTTGTTTAGATAGATTGACAAAGTCCATTCAAATGTTAATATGGAAATACGGCTCTAGACCTACGTACTTTGGAATCTCATCGGGAAGCTAATGGTTGTTTAGGTTGTGTTTGGATGATGAATTTGTGCAGGGGTTTGGAAAAGGAAAGGTAAAGGCAAGAGAAATGGAGAACAAATTTAGCACATATTCATTTACATGTCTCTCACATTTTCCTTCTCCTTTCCAAATCTTTATCCAAATACATGATCCAAACACAACCTATGCTTACTAAAACCTTGGTTTTGTTGCTTTTGAGAACAATCATATGAGATGTCATTTCTTTCAATGTTATGTAGCTCCACGTCACATTCAAGTTAATTATTAGCATTGTAACTTTGTGCTCTTTTTGGACTTTACAGGTCCTTCAATGACAAGCCTGTTAATGAAGCAGCGGTTGGTCCCATAGGGAAGGATCTTTTTGAGAAAGAACAAGACGACCTCCTTTTAGACTTAATAGATATCCCCAAGAAGGCTTGTGATCGTCGAGTATGCTCACTTCTTGTTTGGTTTAACTTTAATTTGTGTGGATGTGTAGTGAGTCTATATTTTTAGAGTATTATATCATGCTAATCAAACAGGCTGTTTTGCTTTGCAGATCAATGAATTTGTAAAACGTGCTAGAGCTGCCAAGATTCATGCCTACATAATTAGCCAACTTAAAAAGGAGATGCCTACTGTGTTGGGTAAAGCTAAAACTCAACAGCGACTTATTGATAATCTTGAAGACATATTTGCAAAGGTTTGTTTTTCTCTATCTCTCTCTGTGTGACTCGAATGCAAGAATGGACGTGCTTATTTCCTCACATTTTGCCAAATAGGTCCAGAGAGAATTCCATCTACCAGCTGGTGATTTTCCAAATGTGGAGCATTTTAGGGAGATTTTGAATAATTACAGCATCGATAAATTTGAGAAATTGAAGCCTAAAATGATTCAAGCTGTAGATGATATGCTTGGTTATGACATTCCAGAGCTTTTGAAGAATTTCAGGAATCCTTATGAGTGAGAATGTGCAGGTAAGGATGCAGTGGAATGCTTGTGTAGATGGTGTGAGTTTTTTGTCTTTTCTTTTTTTCTTTCTCCTTTTATTTGATTGTTGAATTAATATTTTGAGATTGAACCTCTAAGCATTGAATGTATGGGCTTGAGAAAGAAACAAGTGTAGTTTGGCAGTTCTCAATCAACAATTTTCTTGGTAGAAATCATTAAGGCTCAGTTTATTTAGAATGAAATAGGTAGAAAGTGAAAGAAAGAGAAAAAATTTTGTGACTTTTATGAGTTTGTTTAGTTTGAAAGTGGTGAAAAATATAAGAAAACTAATTTTCTTGTACAACTCATATTAGCATTGTAACTAATTTTTTTTATTTCTTGCAAAAAAAACACAAGAAAACATAAGAAAAATTGAATGTGTGAGTTATCTACAACTAAACTTTTAAATTTTTCTATATTTTTCTTACAAAATTTTCATTTTAATCAAATGCTTATAAGAAAATATATTTGCTTTTCTATTTCTTTTCTTTCACTTCATTTTTTTTTTACTTTCACTTTCTATCAAATTTTCTTTCGAACCAAATGCAGCCTAAAGGCGTGTAGTACAGTCCTAAGGGCAACCACCAAAAACATCTCTTCATATGTAATTGAAAATATATTTTTATAAGTATTTAAGGTAAATTACTGACAGTCCTTAAAATTTAATACATTAACATTCGTAAGGTTTTAGATATTATTACATCTACTAAGCAATGTAATGAAAATCGGACTGGACTGGCCGATTGATTGGACTAAGTTCCAGTCCAGATGGACCACCATTATTGTTTAGAGAAAACCATCCGGAAGCTAGATCTCTTCCGTTTCAAAAATCCAAGGGCAACATGAATTTGGGGCACCAACACTTGAACTTGTGACCTATTGCCACTATGCCATGCTATAAGCTTGGGATTATTAAGTAATAATTTATTATTTAATTCATAAATTTCATTTTTTTTATCAAACACCATGTATAATTATTATTTTTACAAACAATCAATGTTACAACAATCTAAATAATTATATTTATGTATGTATGTATCTTAAAATATAAACATATACACTATAAAATTAAAATTGCTCCAACTCTTAGCATATATTATTACTTGTTTTTATTATTAATATATAATTTTTAATATATTTATAAAATAATTATGATGCCAAAATGTTTTTGATACAATTCATGATCTTATATGATCCTACTTGCAATTGTGATTAAATTGGTGTAAGATCTAATTTTCATTAAAGATAAGGTAAAACAATCATTACGAATAATGTATAATTCAATAAGGTAAAAGATCATTACTCTGTTTTGGCTGTAATATTGATTCACGCTGACTTGAAGACAACATAGGCTTCATTTGGGAAGTAGGGTTGGAACTATTTCTCACAAAAAAATAAAATAAATTTTTTAGCTCAGTAAGATAAAATATCACATCCAATTCATAATTATTATATTCTTTCTTTCACAAGTCAAAAAAACCAAAAAATCATTTTCAAATGAGACTTTTTAGCCTTAGGCTAAAATAATCAAAAAGTTAAAAAACCAATCCCCTTTCTAAACGAACCCTATTTGGCAACCTTCAATTTTAGTTAAAAAGTCACTATAAGTTACCACATCACTCTCTTTACTTTTTTGTACATTTTTTCATAAAAAACCAAAAAGTTACTAAAATAACATGTTCTCAAACAAGGTGAGTATAAAATGTGTGGTCGGAGTTGAAGATATTTTTAGCACTGAATCCAATCTTTTGGTTTTGTTGATTAAGGAACTGACACAAACTGTATGTTATGATTCAGTTTTGTTGATCTTGTCAGCTTGGTGTAGACGAGGGATTTATATGAAATTTAAATGATTTTATAAAAATTGTAGAAGTGTTAATAAATGTCTATAAAACTTGGAAATAAATGAAGAAAAAAGTGTAAAAGTTGCCCTATAAATGTCTCAATTTAAAAATTTTATTACAGCAAGTGTTATGTTAACTTAGTGGGAAATTCTGTAGTACACACCTCCTTTTGGTAGGAGTCATCAATGGGACGGGGCAGGTTTACTCAATCCGTAACTATTGTGTCCACGTCTTATATATTAATGGGCTTTTCGAGTTTTGATCAGTCAACGGGTTGTTTGAAAAAATTATAACTACGTCTCACCCGTAAGCCCACATCTTACAGGTAGGGTTGGGCATAAGGTTATTCGAACTGCAAAAATCGCCCAACCCGAACCACCCTTGCCTATTTGGGCAGTTTCGCAGAATTATTAGGGTCGGATGCTGTTTAGGATTTTCTTGTTTTGCCGGTCATGGGCAGATCGCGGGTTTTACCTGTACCTGCACTCACTCGCTTACATCTGTATACAATTTTTTTTTCTTTTTTAAATCTGGACCATCACATTTTCTTGTAAATTTTGTAAGTATGTAACTCTAATCTTCTGTTCTCTCACTCACTTTAATTTGACTATCAAACTTGTAAGCTCTAATATTATAACATTATAATAATATTATACACTGTCTTATTTAAAATACTTATTATTCAATTGGAATTTTTTTAGTTTTTTGCAAATCTAGTTATGTAATTTTTTTTTATGTTAGTTTTTATTTAATTTACATTGTAATTTTTTGTAATTCAACTTTAATAGATAATAGTGTCGAACCTTTTGCAATTAAAAATATTTAAAAAATGAGGAAAAATAAGTTAAAAAATAAATTTTTAAAGGACAAAGTTTAATTCGCAAACCATCTGCAACCCCTCATACATCCGCGAATCGTATTCGCACAAACAGCAACCCACATTGCAGGCGGTTGCCGATTCAATTTTTCCCAAACCACAAACCGAACCGTCAAAAACCGATCCGCGAGCACCCCTACTTAACAGGCCAAAATCAAACTAAATGAAGTTGCACATTTTTATTAGACTTCTATTATTAAGTTATACACATTTATTTTTATTTTTTTAATAATTCATATGATCCAATTAATTAATACTATTAAAGCAATCAAATTAAAGTATAAATTCACCAAATTAACAAATTATAACAATGTTATATGTAAAAAGTTAAGAATTAGGAAAATATCACCGGTCACTGTCAAATTCTATTTTAACAAATTTTGTTTTGTGTATTTTTTTTAAAATACAATTTACAAGAATAATATGGGCTGTCAATTTATTTTTTTTAAATGGAATAATATTAATTTTAATGAATTAAAATTGAATTTAACAGTGTCATTTTTTTAGATAATATTATTATTATTATTATTTTGACAGGATAGTTTGACTTGGATTGATGGGATGGTCAAGTTAGATTTATCTATGCAAGCTTGTATAGACTGAATTCATGGGCGAACTTGGGTTTCAAACCTTTCACCAAAACTCTAAATGATCTTTTATCGAATAGGACTGGCTAGGCATTCAAGCGGGCTCGGACAGTTCATGAGATAAGTTGGATGAGTTGGATAAAACATTTTTTTGTCAGCAGGACATTTGATGACCTCTACTTTTGGGACGTGTACCAATCATATGTTTCATTTATAATATTTCTGTCCTTTAGTTATAACTTAGGCTTCATTTAGCAATATTAGATTTTAATTTAAAAATTAACTAAAAATTAAAAAGTCTAAAAGCCAACAAATATTATTAAACATTTCTTTTCATTCACTTTACATTTGTACATCTTGTCGTAAAAAATCAAAATCATTTTAAACATTAATTTTTTTCATCTCATAATTTAGCTAAAAAACTACAAAAATACTATAAAAAATATATATTCCCAAATGAGACCTTATTGTGATATTAGTTATGATTTGTTTATAACTCGTTATAGTGTTAGATTTGAGATAAATTACTAATAGGTTCTAATAGTTAGACTTAATTCCCATAAAATTCTATTGAAAATAAGTTATAAAGAAATCGTAGTAGTTAAAAATAATTTTTTGTAATGATTTTTTGCATATATCGCTAAAGATTAACAATTAGCGACTTTTTTTATCACGATTTTTATAAATTGTCGTTAAAACTTACAATTAATGACCTCTTTTTATGACGAATTTTTCAAATTATCACTAAAAGTTAAAAATTAGTGACTTTTCTGTGACAATTTTTTTAAACATTCACTAAAACTTATAATTAGTAACATTTTTTGTAACAACATTTTCAAACTGTCGCTGAAAATTAATAATTAGTGACGTTTTTTAATAGTTTTTAATAAAAAATGCTATTATTTATCATAGGACCTATTAGATAATAAGTCCACCTATTAGGACCTATATGTAAGTCCCCCTTATATTTGACCCATTGTTATACCGATTATCACCTATTGTGATTATTATTTTGGTTATGATTCAAAAAATATTTCATTATACATTATATGATATTTAATTATGACTCATTATTATTATTTTTTAGATATGAATAAAAAGAATTTAATTATTATATTTACAATAATTACCACTATAAATATTATAATTTATATATGGTCATAGAATGACCCCGGGTAATCATATATAGAAAGTAATAAAGGTCATATCACTATAATATTATAATCGACAATGCTACGTAACTCAAATTTTGTGGCTCAAAAGTGGCTCAAATGGCCAAAACGACGTCGTTTTGAGTACAGAACAACATAAAAATGGCCAAAACGACGTTGTTTTGGCCATTTGAATGTTGTTCTGTACTCAAAACGACGTCGTTTTGGCCATTTGAGCCACTTTTGAGCCACAAAATTTGAGTTACGTAGCATTGTCGATTAAAAAATTCATTGGTTCATCAATATAAATATTTAATAATAATAAATTTAAACTTTATGTCTAAATTATATCATAATTTATCAGATTGTGATAAATATGAGCTAGTTTGGGGGGTTTCAATATTACATTAAACACTAAAATTAGCCTAAAAATTGAGTTTGAATTGATTTTTATACCAATAATTCTTGGCTCAAGCCTAGTCTTTACAGATTTGTTTTGATTTTTTGTCTAATTCATGTGTTACTTGGCCCATTTATTTATTTATTTTTTAATTAGAAAATATTTTTTTAAATATTTTTTTGTAACAAAAATAGAAAATGTGAGCATCCACCTTATTTGGCAATTGTTTAAAACGTTACCTTTTTTCTTAATATTTCTTTCTTTCAATTAAAATAAATAAATTCATATTAACTTTTTTTCCTATTTCTGAGTTCCTTTTATTCAAGAAGAATCTAA